GAGGAACAGCTGGAGAGCGCCGTCTTGGCGGTGATCTTCTTCTGTATGGGGAAGGTGTTCGGCAGTCCTTGTCGTGTTTTGTCGAAGAACGAAATCGAGGAAGGGGAGAGCGAGGTCGAACAGCACGGTGAGGGGAAGGTCGCCGATGATGCGGTTGTATGGAAGGTCGACGGGAGCGTGATCTTCGAGTCCTGGATCGTGGTCGGCGTGATGGCGATGTTGGAGCATGTGGATGGTGAGGAAGAGGAACGGCTGCAACCGAGACGGTGCGATGGTCCGGAGCTTCAGGTTCAGTGGGTCTCGCTTTCGGTGCAGGTGGAGGCATGGTTGTGGGTAGTGCCGATGTAGGTGATGGTGTGGGCGGTGTGGGGCCAGTTGTAGGTACATCTTGGTGGAGAAGTTGTTGACGTTGTTCTTGAGCGCGTTGGGAGTCCAGGATCATCTGTTGTTGAGCTTGGATAAGACGAACCGATTCAGCAAGTTGTTGTGTAGTGGAACCCAGCGCTGCAAGTTCTGGCGAGATGGGCGGAGACGGTGTTGTCGTTGGTGCCGGTGGTGTAACAGGAAGTGAGGCTTTTGGAGCTGAACGGCGTGGTTTGTCAGGTTTCTTGTCAGAGCGAAGCTTTGGGGCGGCCTTGACTGCAGGTTGAAACGTAGATGCTTCAGTCAATGGTGGAGGGTGAAGGGTGCGAGGTGGGTACGGAGAGCTCTGCAGTGGTGTCGGTGGAGTAGTCGATGTAGGCGATGGAGCTGGAGCAGGATGCCATGTAGTTGGAGCGGTGGGTGCCGTGGGAGTAGTGAAAGCCGGTGGAGCGGTGTGCACCATGGTGGTTTCAGGAACCATGGGTGTGGTCATTGTAGGCACGAGGTGGGGAGATGGTACCGCATGAGGAGCTGTGGTCAATGATGCGAATGACAAAGATGGTGTGGCTGAAGCAGGCGGCATGAGCGAAGAGGACGAAGACCATGTAGGATGCAATGGCGAAGGATGTCCAAATAAATGTGCACTCGGCGTTGATTGTGGCCACGTCGAAGAAGCAGGTGAAGGTTGCGGCGGAGTAGGCCATGACGTCGGAGGGGTTGTCCACGGGTACATTGCTCAAATGGAGAGAAAAAAAGAAAACCGATGCAGAAGTTTTCACAAGCAGGATTCAGTCCCTAAACCTAGAAGTCGTGCGTTAAGCCACTCCAGGCACGCGGTCAGGTCTTGCCCCAATTGGCATAAAACAGCTATCAGGTTCCATCGAATTAGATGCACAATATGTTTCACCTCACCAAATACCAAAGAGACCACACCTGCAGGAAAAGGACATGCCTGTTGCCTGATGTCTCACATGTCATGTTGAACTGCAAAAGCGCGAGCTGCAGTAATAAAAATGAGGTTTTTGGTAGTTCGGAGTGGCTTCACTCAATAGAGATGCATTCCACTGGGTTCATAAAGGACAGCCGGAAACGCGGGACTTCACAAAAAGGTGCAAAACGGAAAGGCCAACTGTTGCGATTTACTTAGATGAATTACTACATTGAAATGTGTTAATTCGGCAGTCAGGACAGTCATCACTCACCCTAAAGAGGGTTGCCTCAAATGGCTCCATGGCACCATGTCGGAGCCACCATGGAAATCACACTAGACAAGAATGGATCATTATATGATCCGGCAGGAACTGAATCCTGAAACATGCAGATTAGATACGAAACAATGAAGGAAACGATGCATCCTACGAATAATGGAAGTACTTCAGAATGGTCATCGGGTTCAGAATTGACATCAAAAAGAATGAATAAACCAGCAATAATATCATCGGCGAAGTCTCGGCGAAGATTAGGCAATAAATAACTGTCGGCGACGATGTTGTCGGCGATCATGTAAACAAAATGTTACAAAAATGCTTTCTACGTCCTTGCTCTGAGGAAGGTTCTGATGCAACACGACATGAAGTTCAGATTGTGACAACCGTGCAAATGTATCATGTTCGTCTTTGGGGTTCTTAGCTTGGCCGCTTGCTATTCCGGAAAATTCGAGCGGCAGGTACGCAGAGCTGATCAGGCTCTGTATCCCATACAATCAGGTAGCTTCGTTGGACGTGGTCTCTGATTGTATGCCACGTCCCCCTGCAAACGTAAGAGTGTTAGAAATGAAGAAGTTTTACATCTGTACAGATGTTACACACGCACACTGGCATGCATAGGGTCAGGCAGGCATACATGCATACATTACGTTGCAGTGCGTCGCATTATATTTGCATTTATATTCAGATTTACACACAATACACACATACAGACACAAACTCAAAATCGCACAAACTTATAAATGCATCCATGCATGTATTTATGTGCATACGGCATACGCGCATAAATATGTGATTATGTATTTGCGCGTGCGCATGTTGCATCTTGATATATGCGTACGTGTGTGTGTGAACATTCTTACTATTGCACATCCATCCAATCGCATCTCGTCCATGCCATTAATGCATATCAATGCGTTGATTATATAATTATATATATATTATCTTGATGCTATTCATTCCATCCATGCCATCCATTCGCTGGACATGCTGGACTCTTTGCTGGCCATGACACACATGGGACACACATTGGCCACCTCAGCCTCAAAAGTAGCAAGGTGAGAAGTCTGTTGGCCCTGAGTGTGACAATGCGTCGCAGCATTTTCGGCTTGCTCTGATTCCTTGAGTCCGGTCACTCGACTCAAACCATCTCAAATCCAGTAGGCATATCCTGACACTTGACATGCACCGCTGTGCGCTGTGTTCTTATTGTTTCCTGTAGACAGCGGATTTGGCAGGAGACCTGCCTTTGCACGCAAATCGGAGCGCCTTCGGGATGGTTTTTAACCATTTTTGGTTCAATTTGTTTGGAAAAGTGGTTGAATTATGTTGAATTAGTTTGTGAGGAATTGTCTGAAATCGTTGGTTGTTTCAGTTATGTGATGTTATATATGTGCAAGAAACTGGCCTGAGCCTTTGCGCAACTGGCAGCGTTTGACAGAAAGCCATTGGACGCATATCCAGTTTTTGCGGCAATGGGATTGGCCACTAATTCGTTGAAGGCCATCGTGTTGGTATGCTATTCATTCCATCCATGCCATCCATTCGCTGGACATGCTGGACTCTTTGCTGGCCATGACACACATGGGACACACATTGGCCACCTCAGCCTCAAAAGTAGCAAGGTGAGAAGTCTGTTGGCCCTGAGTGTGACAATGCGTCGCAGCATTTTCGGCTTGCTCTGATTCCTTGAGTCCGGTCACTCGACTCAAATCATCTCAAATCCAGTAGGCATATCCTGACACTTGACATGCACCGCTGTGCGCCCAACTTCTTCGAAAATGATTTACAATATTTTGTGTTCTCATTGTTTCCTGTAGACAGCGGATTTGGCAGGAAACTTGCCTTTGCACGCAAATCGGAGCGCCATGTTTTAACCATTTTTGGTGCGATTTGTTTGGAAAATTGGTTGAATTATGTTGAATTAGTTTGTGAGGAATTGTCTGAAATCGTTGGTTGTTTCAGTTATGTGATGTTATATATATGCAAGAAACTGGCCTGAGCCTTCGCGCAACTGGCAGCGTTTGGCAGAAAGCCATTGGGCGCATATCCAGTTTTTGCGGCAATGGGATTGGCCACTAATTCGTTGTACAAAGGCCATTGTGTTGGTATGCTATTCATTCCATCCATGCCATCCATTCGCTGGACATGCTGGACTCTTTGCTGGCCATGACACACATGGGACACACATTGGCCACCTCAGCCTCAAAAGTAGCAAGGTGAGAAGTCTGTTGGCCCTGAGTGTGACAATGCGTCGCAGCATTTTCGGCTTGCTCTGATTCCTTGAGTCCGGTCACTCGACTCAAATCATCTCAAATCCAGTAGGCATATCCTGACACTTGACATGCACCGCTGTGCGCTGTGTTCTTATTGTTTCCTGTAGACAGCGGATTTGGCAGGAGACCTGCCTTTGCACGCAAATCGGAGCGCCTTCGGGATGGTTTTTAACCATTTTTGGTTCAATTTGTTTGGAAAATTGGTTGAATTATGTTGAATTAGTTTGTGAGGAATTGTCTGAAATCGTTGGTTGTTTCAGTTATGTGATGTTATATATGTGCAAGAAACTGGCCTGAGCCTTCGCGCAACTGGCAGCGTTTGGCAGAAAGCCATTGGGCGCATATCCAGTTTTTGCGGCAATGGGATTGGCCACTAATTCGTTGTACAAAGGCCATTGTGTTGGTATGCTATTCATTCCATCCATGCCATCCATTCGCTGGACATGCTGGACTCTTTGCTGGCCATGACACACATGGGACACACATTGGCCACCTCAGCCTCAAAAGTAGCAAGGTGAGAAGTCTGTTGGCCCTGAGTGTGACAATGCGTCGCAGCATTTTCGGCTTGCTCTGATTCCTTGAGTCCGGTCACTCGACTCAAACCATCTCAAATCCAGTAGGCATATCCTGACACTTGACATGCACCGCTGTGCGCTGTGTTCTTATTGTTTCCTGTAGACAGCGGATTTGGCAGGAGACCTGCCTTTGCACGCAAATCGGAGCGCCTTCGGGATGGTTTTTAACCATTTTTGGTTCAATTTGTTTGGAAAATTGGTTGAATTATGTTGAATTAGTTTGTGAGGAATTGTCTGAAATCGTTGGTTGTTTCAGTTATGTGATGTTATATATGTGCAAGAAACTGGCCTGAGCCTTTGCGCAACTGGCAGCGTTTGGCAGAAAGCCATTGGACGCATATCCAGTTTTGGATTGGCCACTAATTCGTTGTACCGGCCACAGGCCATCGTGTTGGTACAGGCAGAGCCTCCCTTTAGGCAGAGACAGAATGAGTAATCTGAGAATATAACGAGGTGGAACAGAAAACGTGCGACAAAGATGACAGAGGCGGCTTGGTGGCTTAGTCAAGTCCGTTTGTCAAAGGGTTTTGCTCTATGCCTTTGGACACAAAAACATTGGAATGCAAAAATGGCAACTGCAGGAGCTTGAGGTAGCCGTCGGGGTGAGAAGTTGAAGCTGGGCAAATGGTGGAGGTTGGGCACTGGCTGTTGGAAAATGGTGGGTTTCAACAAGCGTAGCACACCAGCAAAAATCGGGACCCTTTTTTTGATCTCCCAAAGTTGCGTAGTTCAGATTATTTTAGATCCCCCAGCAAATTCAAGCTACAGAGTTGGTGGCCACAAGCACTATACATTTGTGATCATTTTAGTATCATTTTAATATGTTGGTAACTGTGGGTCCCCGAATTCGGTTCATGGCTATTTTTCTGAGTGTCCCAGGTTCAGGCTGATAGGCTGATAGGCGCATTTTGTAGCAACGATTTGCGGTTTCTGAAACACTGGATGTTGGTTCTGATTCTCAGAAAATGATGCACCATAAAATATATAGAATAAAAAATGACTTAAGATGGTTCCATGCTCGTTTTGGGGAACCTCAAAATTGAAGATATTAAAATCATAGCATAGATGTTTGATGATGTCCGTATCTCGGTCGCATCCAACAAAATCCACAGCACCTTGAAGAGCAGCCCTGGAGGAAGAAATGGGTTCTTGATGGTTCTCGGCAGATGTCGCAGGGTATGGCGGCTGTATGATTTTGATGTTGTATGGATATTGGATTATTTTTTTGTTCATGCCACTCGGCATTCTCCGGCATGACATCTTATCACGCCTTATCTATGTCATTCCATAACCAACCACAATATCCATTTGAAACTCTGCAGATCAATGGCATCAAGTTCAGGAATCCGACCACGAGAGAGCACAGATCGAGAAGGCAAAAAATGTGCGCGCGCGGTGCTGTCGGAATCCTTCCGCAAGTGGAGGACAATGATTGAGTATGATTGGGATATGTTGCGATATTGATTTGGTATGATCAAATGATCGTTTGCATGGAGAACACTCAAATGTGATTCATGTTCTTGCAGATCATCAACCCAATTTACTATATCGAATCAGCACTTGTCATCATAGATTCGTGCCAGGTGGAGTTTGCACCTGGGCTATGGGCTCAGCTGGAGTGGCTGTTGTTTCACCATGTTTCACCAAGGACTTCCATACAAAGTGATTCAGTTGAAGCCCAGTGCAGAGATTGTTTGTTACCCATGTGAATCATGTGAGCCCAAAGTGTTGGTCCAGATGTAATTTGGATTGGATTAATTTGGGATTGTCTGGCATGGCAGGGGCAGCGAAAAGAGACACATACGACATAGGTTTGGGCATGATTACACCCGACTTATGTACTCTGTAAACATGTTTAATGGATCAATGGATCATAGCTAGGTAGATAGGTAGATGCACTGGTACATGTACAGACGATAGATCGGAGAGGTCGGTATGCACTCAACGGAGGGTCTTCAGCTTCATCCTGAGGCCTGAGACCTGCTGAAGAATGCTGAAGAGTTGTGCCATAGTTGTTGGATGCTGTTGGATGATGTTGGATGTTGTTCAATGTTATAGGCTCAGGTGAAAGCTGTGTTTGATCATGTTCAAACCCGGCGCTGAATCGATTTTCGCCCGGAGTCCACCTAGCCCGCGCGCGACGAAAAGACTCAGCAGCTCGGCAACACGATTGACCGAACTTAACAGACCCAATGGACCCAATACATTCCAATTATTCCATGTTTTTTACAGGCGGTCCATGGCAATCAAGGCCAAAGCGGATTATGCTGCTGGATTTTGCAGCTGCCACAACGGTTGTCTCCTAATGTTCCTATAACAACTCGGCAAGGTGAAGGACACCGTGTCAAATTGAGTCACAATCTGCATCAAGAGATCTTGAAATGTACTCGCACAAAAAGCATTTATATCTATTTCTGCTGTTTTTGTTTGCGATTCTTTCATTCTGATTACATCGGCAGCGTCGCATTCAGGATGCTCCATTGTAGGATTCATGCAGCCAACATGCACTGAGTCTCAAGAATTCTTCCCCCGTGATTGCAGAACAAAATCATTCGTCAAAAAGGCTCATGCCACGCCACGCGGCAAGCACTTGTGCGAAGTCAGAAGGCACAAGCATGAACCAACTGCTGCAAGAGGGTGCCAATGGATGTATAGGATGAGCAGATAGCGATCATGTCCCAAACTGGACAGGCTGGTTTGCTTTGGGCGCCTAGGATGCAAAGAAATGATGAGACATGTTGGTTTGCAATGGCCCTGGGCTAGGATACCCTCCACAACTGGCAGTGGATCTGTGGCGTTCCTGACCTTGCTGAGGTCACAGTCATTGACCTTTTGAGCCAACAGAAGTTCGAAGAAGCCCTGCAGACGGCCCAAGATGTGCAAGAGAAGAGCCAGGAAATAGGCAGGCCTCTTGAGAGCCTGAAGTCGAAAAATTGTGCAACAGTGGGAAGCTCCTCAAATCTCAAATGTACCACTATGTACCAAGCATCGTCGATGGAAAGGCGCATTGTTTCGGACCACGACATGACATACTTACATATAATTACAAAAGTCAGCGAAGGACGGGTCCAAAAAGGTCAG